CTATCTCGTCGTTATTCCTCCCCCGTTTTACGCGGCTCGTCGACTCGATGGCGATTTAAAAAGCTTCGACCTGCGAAAACCGTTCCTCCGGCCGAGGAACGACCACCCCTCGCCCCCGTCCGCGACGGGTAAAAAGAGAATCGAGTAGAAAATTGATTAGAAGTCGCGATGAAAAATTGATCGACGCGTCGAACTGGGTGGCGCGCCGGGTGGTGGTGGATCCGTCGGCTTTCGTTCGATTCATTTGTACGAACGTAATTTCCATTATGTTTCGTCCGATTGCGTTTCAATTTTAATACCGATCATGATTCAATATCTATGCAGCTTAGATTACCCTCGACAATGTATCGGTATTATACCGGCATATTTATCGATATTTTTATCACTATTTGACCGGTCAAATATCAACGTTGAACATTGAACATTGAATGTTGAACATTGAATATTTAACGTTGAACATTGAACATTTAACGTTGAACATTTGACGTTGAACATTGAATATTGAACATTGAACATCGAATATTGAACGTTGAACGTTGAATATTGAACATTGAACATTGAATATTGAACGTTGAACATTGTACGTTAAACATTAAACGTTGAACATTGTACGTTGAATATTTAACGTTGAACATTGAACATTGAACGTTAAACATTGAACATTTAACGTTGAGCATTGACTATTGCCCACTGATCACTGACCACTGACCATGACATATTTATATACAGGGTGTCCTAAAATTATGATATTTCCTGGAAACGAGAGATCCCTGAGATCATTCGAAGCAACTTTTTCCTTTACGAAAATTTTCTCCGAGGCTTCGTTTACGAGTTATCAACGAAAAACAGTGACCAATCGGAGGCGAGATCGTTTGGCGCGAGACGGCCGAGCCAATGAGCGGAACCGGGCTCCGCGCGCCAGCCGAACTCGCCTCTTATAGGTCAGTGTTTTTTTGTTGATAACTCGTAAACGAAGCCTCGGAGAAAATTTTCGCAAAGGAAAAAGTTGCTTCGAATGACCTCAGGAACCTCCCATTTCCGGATTGTGCCTTGTATATATATATATATATATTTGTTTTTATTTTTATTTTATATATTGATGTGTTCCAAAATTATGGTGTTTCCTGGAAATGAGAAGTTCCCGAGGTCATTTGTAGCAACTTTTTCCTTAGCTAAAATGTTCTACGAGGCTTTATTTACGAGTTAGCGCGAATTGTATCTTGCTCACTCGTTCGTAGAATCAACGATGCTTCGCAGACTCCGATTACCGTGCCTAACGCGACCATCGTGGAGTCGACTCTCTCGTACCTCGTTGTACAGTTCGCGACGGTTCCGGGATTTCGTCGTGGACTTTTCGAAGTTCACCGTGTCAAAAGAAAAAGACGAGCGACGCCTGCCTGTAAGATGTTTACGAGCCTCCGATATCGAAGAGCCGGAAGAAAATGGCTGTTTACCGTCCTTAGGAGAAGCGTGCGCAGCCAAGCGTCTCCATCGAGGCGAATCGCGGACCCCATTGCCCGGAAAATATAGAGACATTCGCGAAATGAATTCCGGCCGACTGAATCGTGGCACGCTTTGACGACGTCTCGCGGACTTTCGTCGAATTCGTAATCTTTTTCGGTGTACACAGACGCCGCGGTGATTTTTGCCGATCGAACGGCGCCGCGCCGTCTTCAGCCTCCCCGCTTTTCATACCTTGGGTCCGCTTCGACCCGGAATTTCGAGGCTTTTACGGAACACGCCTTGGCGGCCATTTTGTCGCATTGCCTGCTGCAAGCTCGTCGATGGATCTCCGAGTCGACCGCCTTTGGAATCCTCTTCAACAATTGTAAACCAGAAACCTTCAATTGGCTTTTGTTTCGCCGAAGTTCATTTTTGCAGTCGAATATGGAAATCGTCGTCGCGTCAGTAAAGGAGACACTACCGTAATCTGAACGTCAGTAAGGGAGACATTACCGTAATCTGAGCGTCAGTTAGAGAGACATTACCGTAATCTGAGCGTCAGTAAGGGAGACATTACAGTAATCTGAGCGTCAGTAAGGGAGACATTACAGTAATCTGAGCGTCAGTAAGGGAGACATTACTGTGGTCCGAAGAATTTCGAAAAAATTAGTCAACTCTTCTGCTAAACGATATTGCCGCGGCGTTCTTTATGAATATTAGGTTTAAAATGGTCGCTCCGGCGACGGATAACTGCGATGCTTCGGTAACTACAAAGGGAGGAGCAGCTCGGAGAAGTGTATTTTATATGAATTGCACGGAAGTTAGGGGGGGGGGGGCGAGAAGAAAAAAGGAGCGCGTGAAAGGAAGCGGAAGAGCTATACTCGAGAACAAAATGTGAAAAGTGAGCTCGCGTTAAGTACAATTTCGTCCGGACCGTTATCAACGGTCCATCGGCGCACCGTTTCGCTCCCGTAGAAACATCATAGGTAGCAAGGCGCTGGATACACCGGGTGTCTCGCTCGAAACGGTCCTCGAAGCAGCCTCGAAACATTTTTCGAATTAATGTTATATTATATATTAATATTAATAATAATATTATATTATATGCTAATAATATTATCAATATTATTCTAAAATATTTATCGCGATTTAAAAGCTGTAACAAACACTTTCATGGACCACCACGCGGGCGTCGACTGGATTCGCCACTAAATGTAGTCACCCGATGTAAAAGCGCGCGTTCGACCTACCGCGCGACCTTTTACAAATGTTCCCCCAGAAAAATAGCTGCCGGCCCTAGTTATCTTCCAGCTCGGGCTATTAAACTCGAAAGATTTGTCGGCAGGATAGACGACGACTCTCCTCGGATATATTCGAGACGGTTGTTCCGGCCGGAATCGGACACCGCGTAGATCGCCCAAGGGGGCGAGAGTTTCGCGCGCGATTTTTCATTGTCTCGCGTAAGAATCTGCAGCGAGAGAGAGAAGAGGGGTAAGTACCGTAAGCAGACATTCCTCTCACGGCAAAAGAGGTTCCCGCGGGTTTTACCGCGGACAGGTAGCGAGTTACCGGGACGCGAGCGGGCCGCGGGGGTGGAGCGAGGGGTTCCCGAGGAGTCTCGAGGAATTTTATCGCGAGGAGGACACCCCTGGGAAGTGGGAATCGAGGATCTTCTCCTCGCCTCCTCCCCAACTCGGGCAGCCGTTTGTCCTCGGAATTCGGGGCTCGAGGCTCCGAGCTCGGAGCTCGGGCCGCGCCCCTCGCTTCCTCGAGCCACCCCCGCGTCACCCCCGCCGCAGCCCCACGCGCCAAACCGTTCTCGTTCGCTTTTTCCCTTCGCTCGTTCGTCGATCGACGAGAATCGCAATCACGGGATTTTTTGACCAAGGTCAACGCTCGTTTCGAACATTCGCTTCTTCATTTTTTTTTGAAATTGCAATAATTTCTCCCTAATTTTCCTTCGGCTTGTAAAGAAAAATCGACGATTTTTAAATAAAAGATACGATTATTCGAGTCTTGCGCCTCGTGCAAGTATAAAAATGAGCCGCCGAGGCTCGAACGAACCATTTTTGTACATTTTTGTTTACAAGCCGAAGAAAATTGAGAGGGGGAGGGGGGGGGGGGGGATTTACTGG